TTTAAATTTTCTCTTGTCTCTCTTAAGGGGATTCGATACCGACCATTGTTTAGACTAAAACATCCAATCTTTTGTCCATCAGTCCGATGGACCTAATAATGCGATAAGACTTTTAAAAATTGATTTGAATTCGTTATTATGCCTTCTTGATATCGGCCACGTCACTTTTTCAAATTTCGGCCCTTAATCTTTATAATATGGATTTAGAAATTGTGAAACTTAAAAAAATGTAAGTTTTGATTACTCTAAATTAAAATTGTAAATTCAAAAATTAATCATTAATCATAAATTTAAATTACGTGAATAGTTAATACATTTAGTTTATAAACTGAATTAAAAATATATTTTAGCATTACCAAATAATAAACTTAAATTATCTAATTAATTAAATAAAACATCATGGATACGATCATTAATGTCATACATTGTTTATGTAGTATTATGGTTTAAGACTTTTTTTCTTACATAAATGGGCGAAGAGTAACAAATTACAAGACCCAAAAATATAAAATAAATTAAATTAAATTTTTAAAATTTTTTTTTTTATAACATGATTTAAATTTGAAATACATAATATATCACTTGAATATAACCGTTCTGTTGTCAGTGGTTTTTCCACTCAAGTCACAAATAGACACAGAAAGACTTAGTTTATAATGCTAAGGTGACTTTGCTTTTCAGATAATTATTATAATAAATCATATTGTCATATAACAGCCACAGATATATATATTAATATTATTAATATTATTAATATTGTACATATATTATTATTATACATATCTGTGATAACAGCCGACCCTGTGAAAGTAATAATTGCGAGATTCTAGCATAGATCACAGATGGCGGGAGGAACAAAAAACAGAGAATTAAGCTATGAGGGTAATACACGCTGTAAAAAACCTTGTGCCTTGTAAAGCTCGTTGGTCTTATATGGGCCCTATGATAACACGATTCGCAGAACATAACAATGGTCATAGGCCAGCTAGATGATGTAATGCATGTGGCGGTGCGGATATAGCTAGAAATATACGACCACATGCGTAGGAGCTTAGTTTCTAATTCGAGGCATAGACCACTACGACAGCGCTCATCGCAAGGGATAAGACGGGTAGAGGGATAAGCCTATACTTTTTCTGACTTGATTTTTATTAGCTAGTACGAGCACCTCCTGCACGCTAGTCATTGTCTTTAATTATTTCTACTAAGGATATTTTCGATCGGTAATATTTTGGGACTTAAAGGGGCTAACTGTCCCAGGGCTAACCTTGCGGCATGACTCTGGACCCACCCCTGCTGGTGTGTCTTGACGTTTAGCCGTATTGTGGGCGATGGAGCAAAGCTCCCCACAGGTCACATCGGGTTAAAACATTTTTACTACCAAGCTTAAGACTGAATGTGAGCCTATGATCCTGTCCTGTCTTCATTATATGTACGTGGGCAAACACTACATTATATCAATATCACATGAGTTGTATATTTGATGTATAAAGAATATGTTAAGACATAAATATGGTCAGTGGTGATGATCGTATACTCAATTACTACTGGACACCAGTGTTTAATATAGGTGCTTATAAATAGTATTTATTCGGTTATTGTGTACATAGAAGTAATCGGCGTATACGACATTACGACAATATATTGTATAAGTTTATAAAAAGTTAAATTACATTAAATATGTTCAGGAATTATTTTGCCATAACCTTGAAGTTGTGTAAAAATAATATATGAATACAATTACGATCTATTACGATATTATAACTACTGTTAATATTTTTTTTTATTGATCTTGAGTAATGCCTACTATAGCCATTAGTATTTGGTGGCGGAGTTACGGTTGGTTGAGGAACACGTGAATGCGGGGCGAAAATTCGTCATTAAAAATCCGGGTGGTCACCCATCCGTGAACGCTTGACGTCAGAAAACGTTGAAGACTGAGGCCAACCATCTAGCCACACCAAGCCCGTTGATTTTGTTGATGACTGGAAATGAAACATAACATTCAAACATGCAAACAGAAGATATCGTCGACGTTAGGTTTTCGAAGGAAAAATAAAAATACATAATTCAATTTTATTTTGGAAACAAAATATACTTGTTTAATGTTTTGTCCAAAATTCTGAATCGATCATACCTATAGGTACAATAATATGGTACATTTTTTATATAGAGGCATGGAGCCCGCATATTTAACTGCACTGAGAGGTGAATTTGCGTAAACCCTGTAATAATATAAATTTATATATATATTATATAAATGTATACCTAGGTATATGATTATTATTATAATGTTAATATTAAATTTAATTTTTTCTTATACAATTGTTGAATAGTGTAGGAAACACCCATACAAGTATGACCATGCACATTGTGAATCAACTCGTATACAGAGTCAAGAGGCTAAAAAATGATCGACCTTTTAAGCTTCGAGAGACAACTAATATACGTATTTATATTCGTGTGCCTTATTTATTAGAACTGGGACGACGGTGAGTCGACGTTTATTCGATAAACCGACAACAGATGAGCCCACAGTCGCCACGTCGAATATTTTAGATCGAAAACGGGTACGATATTATATTATATTATAATTTACAATAGTATCCGTCTCCATATTACATTATCAAACCGTTCGTATAATACTAATATTTATTAAAGCAATAATAATTTGAAAAAGAAAGATAAATAAAAGTAGCATAATAAAATACGACATGTACTGATTGTAAGAAACGTTTGAGTAATATTTAACATTATAAATAATAAGGAAATAACGATGGATATATTTTTAAATGCTATAGACAAATACTATTGAATCAATATATTTTACTTGTGATTGAGAACTAACATATTAGATACAGGAAAAAAAACATAACATAAGAACCAATATGCTTAGGATTGAAAAGTATTTCTGAGTGTACAACAGTAAAAGATTATGGGTAAATGTAACTTCTTACACAAAGCATGGTAGACAAAAAAAAAAAAAAATACAAAAATTAGTTTTTATATTGTGAAAAAAATGACTATTGTAAATTCGTACACTATAAAAAAAGTTAAGTATGTTAGTTCCTTATCTCTAAATTATGTTAATCTTTAATTATTAAAATAATTTATTATTAAGTTATTTAAATTATTATTTTTGTAATACTATAATATTTTATGCATTAAAATGTAGTATATTCGACGGATGCTAATGTCTTAAAAAAATTGACTTTATTTTATAATAGGTACATGAAATATTGCCAAATAAAAATTTAAAAAAAAATATAGAATATATTTTCATAAATATATAATTATGAAAAATATATGTTTAATTTTTTGTGTGATTTATTTCGGAAAAATAAATATTTATTACAATCACAGTGATTTATTTTGTTTTAGTGTTACTTTTTATGGTTCTTAGTTTAATCTGTGTTTGTACTTGAACAATTTTGAGTTTCGATAATTTAAAATAATTATGTATGTTGCTGATAAAAGTTTAGTATTTGCCCGGTGTATAATAGATACATAGGAACTGAAAAGGTCAGTTTTGAAAAATATTGAACAAAGGGTCCGGAAATCTAAAATATTCTATTTAATTTTCATTTATAATTAGGTGTTTAATATATTATACATATATAATTAATATTCATTTAAAAAAATTATTTTATTTTCTTATAGAATATTAGTATATTATATTTGATTACTTATGCCTTATACTTACCTAGTACATACTACATACAGTTTACAAATACCCATTTTAGTTCCATATAAAAATTTAAAACTATGGTCAAAATAAAAGTACAAAGTTCAAAAATATATTATAAGAAAAAATATACTTTAACCTTTCAGCTTTTACAACCATTATGAACAATTTATAATTTAATAATTATATGAATAACAATAATTAAAAATAACTTACGTTATCTCAAATAATGATTGGCAATTTAAAAAAAAGATATATGTATGTATATTATATTAATTATTATAAATGAAAATAAAATTTTTGTATTTTCGTACTAACTGTTCGATTTTTTTCAAATCAGACCTTTTGTTAGTAGATTTTTTGATCTAGATGAATAATAATTGTACGTATAGGTGCCAATAAATGTTAAAACAGTCAACTTCAGTTTTAAAATTAAGTACATTTATAACAATCAAAATTTAAAAAAAACACGTTATGGCATAAATGGGCTCTATGACTCTATGGCTCTAAGTAACCTCTGATATATAAGTACCTCGGTTATCAGTAGGTAGACTGTTGTACTGTACGGACGTGTCTTCGATATTTTTGTTTCCTGCGTGTATACGTCGTTATTGCTAAATTTCCGAAATGTTGAATTGTGTAGTTTGTTCAAGCCACTTCGCAGAATTGGATCTTCCAATCAAATGTGATAGTTGTTCAGGTGCATTTCATTCAATGCACGGATGAAATGTGTAGATTTTTATCAGAATTTGATTTTATTTATAATTTTAAAAATTTGAGTTTGGCTACAGCTAACTTCTAAATTTTATGAAATTATAAGGCATACTTTTGATGTTTATATTACAAAATTCAAATTTAATCCTAATCATAATCAGAACATTATGTGGAAAGATCCTGTCCTTCGAAATCGTATTCAATTAAAAAAACAAGCCTATAAACAATTTAAATTAAGTAACTCTCAATATGATTATTTCACTTTTTCTGAACTTCGTAAAAAATGTAAAGCCTTATCCATCCAAGTCCATGCAAACCATATCTTGAAAATTGAAAATAACATAAATAGTGATTCGAAGTATTTTTGGAAATATATCCAATCCTTGAGATTAAATAAAACTAACATCCCTGCTACTGTATACTTGGATAATATTGTTTCAACCTTTGACAATATTAATTATACAACAAAATTATTTGCTTATTATTTCTCCTCCTTATACGTTGATTATTCTAAAAATACTAATTTGTATGATGATACCCTGTTAATTAATCATGACATTAATTTGAATATTGGTTTATTTCGGAGCTTGAAATTTCAGATATGCTCAGTGCATTAAATGTGCGATCTGGTACAGGACCTGATGGCATCACTTCGTCATTTTTGAAAGCATGTAAATCAGCATTAATTAAACCCTTATTTTACTTATATAATTTATCACTCAGTACTGGTATTTTTCCCGATATTTGGAAAAAATCATTTGTTACTCCAATTTCTGGTGACAAAAGTGATGTACGTAACTATCGTCCAATTTCAAAATTATCCGTTATTCCTAAATTATTTGAGGCAATAATTACAAAAAAATTGACTGCCCTACTTGTAAATTACATAAGTCCTACCCAACATGGCTTCCTACCCAAGCATTCCATTCTAACGAATCTTTTAACATATCAAACACATTTATTACAGTCGTATGATCAAAATTGTCAAGTAGATTCAATCTATACAGACTTTAAAAAAGCTTTCGATAAGGTGAATCACAATATTTTATTAAGCAAGTTAAAGGCTTTTGGTTTTAATGGTTTATTTTTAAAATGGATCACCTCCTATCTCAATCAGTTAAACTTTCATTCCATGTCTCTAATGATTTTCAAGTACCATCAGGTGTTCCTCAAGGTTCGCATCTGGATCCACTACTTTTTCTAGTTTTTATTAATGTTTTGCCTCGGATTTTTAAAAATTCTATTAAATTATTGCTTTTTGCAGATGATGCTAAATTATTTTGCTCGATTCAATCAATATCAGACTTGAGACATTTAAGACATTACAAGATCAGCTAAATAAATTTTATACTTGGAGCATGAATAACTGTCTTGAATTAAACATTGATATCATCAATTTGATAAGTGTAATATTATTTCATTTACCCGTTCTAAAAACCCAATTATATTCAATTACAAACTTAATAATGTACAATTAGTCATAGTAACTGTGATTAAAAACTTAGGAATATATTTTGAATCAGATTTCTCTTTTAAGTTCAATCATAAACATGTTTTAAATAAATCCTATACAATGCTAGGCTTTATTAATAGGAATACACAAAATTTTAAACAGCCTTCAAGCTTAAAAACTGTATATTGCTACGATCTTCAATAGAATTTGGATCCATAATTTGGTTTCAAAACCTGTCAACATACTTGAATGATCTTGAGATTGTCCAATATAAATTTTTAAAAAGAATATCTTACGTCTCTAATATGCCTATATTTAGTAATATACTTAAACCCGTTTAGTTATCAATAGGTTTGGATTCGTCGATCTAAGAAGACAACTTTCTGATATATTATTATATATGATCTATAAATGGTTTTATCGATTGTCCACATCTATTGGCTTTACTAAGTATCAAGGTTCCCACTTTCTTTTCCATTACCAATGATTTATTTGTCATCCCCTACTATCGCAAAAGTTATGGCGCCGATTCGTTTTTCCCTCGCGCTCTGTCACTAACTAATAAACTATCCCCATCAATAGATTTTTTTGATTCTAATCGTAATAAATTTAAGTACAATGTATTATTAATATTAAGATGTATTAATGCTGTTTAAATAGTTATTAATATTTCCATTTAAGTAATTAGTTGTACCTATTTCTGTATTCGTACTTTGTATATAGTTCTTTATTATTTTTTCCTTTTTGTTTATTCTAATCAAAATATGTAAGTTTCCGTTCATGTAATTTGTCAATTGTATTATACCTTATATCCAAAGGACTCAAGCCCGTTAAATCAATTAAATAATAAATAATAATAATAATAATAATAATAATAATATTACACAGTTTATCATAACTTATTATTATTTACCAATTGTTAATTTTATAGTTGTGGGTAATTATTATAACCAGTTGTACAACATTACATTTTTAATAATCGATTTCAACATCAGTATCTTTTCCAACGGAAAAGTGAATTTATTGGTGTATTCGAGAACTCAAAATTTAAAAATTCTTGGTAGGTGTCAAAAAAAAAAAAAATAATTGAAAACTTGTATTTTTATGTAATTTTGCATATTAATTTAATTATTTAATACTATAGTATCTAAAATTATTGTTTTCTTGGTTATCTAAAACACCTATTACTTTAAAATAGATATGTAACTTCATAAATTTATTAACATGTTTAATTTAAAACAGTTGTTACCCACTGTTTTTATAATTTTCTACGGTAAGTATGTTAGCTGTTGATTATCATGTTTTAGAAAATCGAATAAATGTAACATATTTAATTTAAAATGAAGAGAAACATAATTGACCTGAGTATTCTGTAACCTATATACAGTAATGGAAGCTATTAAACGATGAATAATATATTTTGGATTCTGAGTGGAACGGTGATTGTACCTAGTGATTTTACAATTGTGTGTTTTTTATTTTTTTTTTGTGTCTGTCATCACCTTTTGGGGCCTTAAAAGTGCTTCGATTTCCTTCAACAGCATCTCATATGGTAGGAAAGCCGGTACCTTTTGGGGTCAAAAGTAAAAAATTCCAAATAGTTTTCAAATATGGCAGGAAAAACAAACAAAAATCAATTAAAAAGGGAATTTTTAAGGATAATCTCTGTTTTCGACCTGAAGTTTATACAGGCATATGAAATTTTTGATTATTATTCGTTTTTTTCTAGACTAATGTCGATAAAAAATTTGCGTTGGGTCTAAAAACTTGAAAATTTAATACTACGTTGTTCGTAGTTGTTGTTAGTGGTTATTAAAAAAAAAGTTGAGTGTTAGTTCACAATAATTTTTTATCTAATATTTTGATTTCAATTTTCGACAAAAATCACATTTTAGGTCAGAAGTTCATAAAAAAATTTGTTACCATATCTATGATTTTAAAATAGAGTATAAGATTTTTCATAAAATTGTCTAAATTTATCAAAAATAAAAAAATGCTTCATGCAGGAAAGTTACATTTAATTTTTCTATGAGCTTTTGAAGTTGAAATTTGTACAGCATTGGATTTTCACTTGATCTCTTTTGTACAGATTTTCTTATTTTTGTTGTAATTCAAAAAGGGAAAATTGTAGATAGGTACTTGGAATTTACATCATACGTTTACTTTTTAGTATATATACTTGATAAAAATTTTTTTATTTTTATTTTTATAAACGTCGGTAAAATTGTATTTGTTAAATAAGAGAAGCTCCTGATATATTGTTACAATAACAGTTAAAAAATATATTAAAAATACATATTCAAGATTTTTATTTATAAGCATTTAAAGTTCAAATTTTGACGAAATCTTATTAAATTCAAAATTTACAACTAATTTTATAGTTAAAGGTTGAAAATTTAAAACAAGGTTCTACGGAAGTAGTATTCTGTAACCAAAAAAATTAAAAATATATGGAAACAGTTTTTTTAATAGTTGTTTTATGTTCAAATTTTTATGCATTTACAAATTAAATAACCAAAAATAATGATTATATATTATTATACACTAGGTACCTATTATACATTATTATTAAACATTTATCGATTTGTTGTTCAAGTATAGACTTAGTAATTTGCTCAATGTATTATATTTTACTATAAACAATTATAATATTGTATTCGTCCTAAAATACAATTATTATTTATATTGTATTCGTTTTCGTATTTATTTCATATGCGACGTCGGCGAATAATTTTTTTTTTTATTCTGTCCATGTTCATTGACAAGCGCGTAGCGTATCCCCTCCGCTTCTTGTCTGCTCATTCAGTGACGTTCGACGGGCACGACGACAGTGGCGCGGGGCGCTCGTGACTCGTACTCGTATCGTACCCAATTTTTTGCTCGTTCCAATTTGCACGTTCGAACACCGTGTTCGATTAGTTGTGATTCAGTATTGTTTTTTTTGTAGCTTTTTATAAGACGTACCGCAACGTCACGCGAGTACATGACATTTTGTGTTTTGTTATTTACCTAAATCGTTTTGATAAATAAATCATTTACGACGCTTAGGTACGTGTCCATGCGTAAGACCTGCGTTTCTGCATTTCGTTTCCGAGTCCGTGTCCGATAACTTACTGACGAAAGTCAGTAACGTTGTTGAGTATATCTTAGTTGTGCCTGCCGAGGGCGACGTTTAGTTTATCCTGTTTGTGCAGACTCACACTAATTGCCACATTACTATTGATAATACACATTTTGATAACAGTGTTGTATTAAACAAAATCGATGTGAAGTGTTTTTAATTTAAACAATGAGTACAGATAAACATTACGCAATATTGATTTTTTAATTAACGTAGAATAATACGTTTCGCGTTATTTCACTCTACTACTCATTGACAGTTATTAAAATATATATCTGTGTGATTAACATTAACGTTTGAAAACATTTATGATGGATGTTTCTGACACACCACAATTCTTACCCGACTTGGTGTTTGACATGATATTTTCAAACTTGGAACTGCCCGACTTGTTTAGCTGCATGTTGGTCTGTCGTAATTGGAGTCGAGCAATTAACGATGATAATGTAGAGTTATGGAAATTGATATGTCGCCGTAAGATGCCCGAACAGCTACTAAAGTCTGAACTTTTGTCACAACTCCACAACCCAAAAGCTAAGTTACGGGCCTTATATCATTCATGGAATCCTGACGATTGTTCCCTCCACATTTTTGTCAAACAAAATGGTTTCACATTACATCGCCATCCCGTCGCCGAGTGTACAGATTTGGCACGGACTAAAATTGGTTATAACAATGGTAAACATGTATGGGAAATTACATGGACTGAGCCACTAGGTAAAAAAACATAGAATAAGACAAATACTAAGTAAAAAATTATTACAAGTATCAATTATTTTGCTTACAGGTACAGTTGCAATGGTTGGCGTGTCAACAAAGGAGGCGCCTGTGTATTGTGGTGGTTACTTACCTCTATTGGGTTCTACCAAGCATAGTTGGGGTTGGAACTTAAGTGATAACGTCTTGTTACACAATGCAGAACCACATGGAGAATACCCATTGTTAAAAAATGCTCCAAAGTATCAAATTGGTGAAAAATTACAATTAGTACTAGATTGTGAAAATGGTACTTTGCACTTTGAAAAATGCAACCAGTTTTTAGGTATAGCTTTTAAAAATTTACCTAAAACTAAATTGTATCCTTCAGTGTCAGTTGTTTATGGTGACGCAGAAATATCAGCAGTATATATTGGTAAGACACTTTAAACAAAGTTTTCGTAAGAATCCAATCTCATAGAACAGAGATGGCAAACATTTTTGTACCGGCTTGTCAAATAAAAATTTTGGTTAGATTTTGTTAATTTTTCCCTGGCTTGTTTTTCCCAACTAATTCCATAACCCTTTTTCAAAAACTTTAATATTATCAAACTTATACAAATTCTTGTGTGTTACTAAAATAGTGTGCGCTTGTCACTCTGTCGTGTCATAGGTTCGTCATCTCTGTCATCTATATATATAAGAATCTAACTTGATTTTGGAGACAAAGGAACCCGGTTTTGAACCCTCATAATAATAATAATAATAATAATAAACTAATTACCAATTATTTTCATATATTCACCGATAACGATGTCTGTTTTTTTTTTTTTATATTTAATCATTGTATTATTTGTATAGCCAAAAAATAGTCTTATGTTTTTAAATTAAATTATAAAAAAATAATTTCTTCAGGAGGAAGATCGGGCAGCTAGTAGAATATAAAATACTGTTTGAACATAAGGTTTAAATATATTCCTTTGTTGATGTTCTATCATCTTAAAACAGCAATTAAGTAATTTACTCATTTTTAATTTAAAATAAAAGTTAGTTTGACTTACACATATTCAATTACTAAATTACTAAAATTAAATATTATTACTTTATACATTAATGTATTAGCTTATGCTTTGAAATTTTTGAAATTTACAAAAATTATTATTATTAAGTTATTTTTTTTATGTATGGAATAAAATCGATTTTTGGTTTATATTAATTAAATAGTATGATTAGTGTTTAATTATTTTTAATTTATTTAACTAAATTTCAATTTTGGTTGAATACTAGGTTAGTATTAAAGTCAAGGCTGGGCAAGTTAACTATTTTTTTAACCCTTTAAGTAAAGTTAATTTAGAAAAATGTTAGTTAAGTTTAAAGTTAAAAGTTATCTTTATTTTTTTTAACTTGATAAAGTTATAAGTTAATTAGAAAATAAAAGTAACTTAACTTAATTAAAAATAACTTAACTGTCACTTATTAACTCTTTAATGTCCAGCCTTGATTATTGCAAAGTTTTTTCTTGTTATTTGAGTTATTTGAAATTAATTTAAAAATGATTGTAAGATGTTTAAATATATTTTAGTTAAAAGTTCTTTTAATATTTTGTTTTTAATTGTTCTAATATTTTTTAATTTTTAAAAAAATACAACACATTTCAAAGTATCTACTTAACCTAACCTTGCTGTAACAAATTGCTAGATTTTTTAATAGAAATTTGAATGTGGAAATATGTAATAGTTCAATAACAGAATAAATTAAATCTACAAATGAATATAATATACCTTACATCTTAAAACATTGTTGAATCAAACAACTTCATAGAGTTACATAGAACTACAAAACAATATATAACATACAATTTAAATTTGAATTAATACATAACGGGTACTACTATCCACTTGCCGCGTATTAACATACTTTACATTGTTTCACGGCTGGTTATTTCTGATAATCTTATTTCTTAAGGTGTGCTTTAATATTATATTAAATTATTTTAATTGATAAGTGGATTTTAATAATATTATTGTACAATTGCATTATCGTAGTATTGAAATTTAACTCATGAAAAGTTACGTTAAACTTAAAATGAGAACTTTATAAAATGAATATCAGGTATATCAAATGTAGTTGATTTTAATAATTGGGTTGCTGAATTTGTAAAACTGAACCATTTAACCTGTTGTTGGTATTGCTGTGTAACCTCTCACCATTAGTATTGAGTGAGCGTTGTGCTCACCACATTGTTTTTACATTTGTTTTATCATATAACTAACTTAGATCATTGAAAACAGCATCAAACTGCTTATTTCTTATTTGTTTGTAAAAATTGTTTTCATCACTTTACCCTACTATAAATATTTCAAACAATAAAAATAAAAAAATTCATTATCATAGGACTTTCATAAAATAGACTCCAAATATTATTGATATCAAAAAATTTTTATTTTATTTTGTTTACAAATAATTATGTTTTTTATAAATATATAAAGTATATAAATTATGATTTAGTATTTTTCATTTAGGCCAAGTGGCCAGCAAATTGGATACTGATGACTAGGGCTGGGATTTTAATGCCCTAAAAAAACCTGAAAAATGTCCTAAAAAAATGCTTTTATGACCTAAAAACTCTAAATAATGCCCTAAAAAAAATGCTTTTATGATCTACAAATTTTTTTATTTTTAATAATTTTAGTAAAAATTACAATAAAAAGTTTTAAAAATGCATTATAAAAATCTATTACAAGTGTAAACTGTAAATACATAGTTTTAGTATAAATCTAAAAAAAAAGTTGATTGTCCGATAATATAATACGAATTACGAGTACCTACTTATAATCTGTTATTTTTATTTAAAAACCATGTTAGTGTAAAAATCTTAAAATCTTAAAATAAAATTTTAAATTCATACACTTGGTTTCCAAAAACTCAAAAAATGCTCCAAAAACTAAATTGCCCTAAAAAATTAAGAAAATTACCTAAAAACTAAAAAATGCAAAATAAACTTTCTTATTCTCATTCAAATGTACATAAAACAAATTTGTGACAAGACGAGCATTGCACAGTAAGCTTTGAAAAACAATGCAAAGTGTATCGAAATCCCAGCCCTACTGATGACATTGCAGGTCGATATCTTAACAACAATTTTTTTTTTAATTTCTATAGTTAGGTACCAAATTATATTTGGAAATGTGTGGATTGAAGGTATTAATAATATCACAGGACTCGAGTAATAAATAAATATTAGTGCTTCTCAAAATACTAACTTGGTGAGCGTTGCGCTCACCAAGATACCAATGACTGGTTAAAATGGAATTTGCAATCATTTACAATAAATGGAAAAATAAAAGGTATTTGTACATTTGGATCTATACTGTTATTTATTTTATTGATGAACTATTTACAAGTACTTAATATTATGAAATATGCTTAGATAATTAAATGTATATTAAATTATTTATTATAACTATTAACTTATATATATAAAGTATGATCATTGATGATTTAGATGTAATATTTACATAGATTTTTAAGAATTTTTACAGTACTTAATAAAATAGTCAACAAATTTCCTGTTTTTTGACAACATAATTTTTTTTTACACCTGAACCTATCTTGTATGTTTGTGTATCATTCAAGATCAGAGTTTTGTGATTTTTAAATATTATACTCAAAGTTTAAAGACAATACTTTTGAATACTTTAGATTTTTTATATCCGACTCAATGTGGAATCGTCCTGTGGTGATACAAACTTATTTTTCAAATGAGAACCATTAAAAAAAAAAATAAGCAATTTAATTTAAATTATTTAATAGATAGGTAATTTAAATTGTATTTAAATTAACATTAAAATGTGTAGTTCCAGAGTTATGTATATTATACTCATTACTCAGGATAATATTAATATTACAAATATTCTGTATATTTACAATATAATTACCTATACACATTTAATTATTTATTTATTTTATTTTATTTCATACATACCTATGAGTACTGGGCTCCACTGATAAAACTCATGCGGGGGCCCAGGAGTTCAAAAATATAGTTACATTAGAATTTCAGATAATAATATAAAAAAAGAAAATGTTGAAAGTTTAAAGAAAAAATACAATCATAATACTACCTAAAATTTTTAAACTAAAATTAGCTAAAAATTGATTACACTGTATTAACAAATACTGTAACATTAATCATAATATAATTAATTTGTCATGAGACTCCAGTAGACATTGCACAATTCTTTTTTTAAATAAATTAACTGGAGAGATTATTATTTCGGATAGTATTTTGTCCCATAATTTGGTACCAATTAATGCGTTACCTCAAACTTACAAACTTTAAACATAGCAATGGTAAAAACATTCTTATGTTAGTTTTTTACTACAGTGCAATTTTTAAGTGAGTTATAAACTTTTTTACTTCACACTATAGTATAAACTCATATCTTACTAATTAATTGAACTATAAAGCCGGCATAGGAATACAAATAATGTTCTTACTATCAAGTTTCATTACAGGGCGATTCACTCTAATTTTCAAATTAATTCATTAAATTTGATCTGATGAGCATGAATTTGAGATGTTACACACTTGTAAGACTGGACAACTCATGCTCGGTTCACTTAGGTAATATATTTAAATATTATTATTTATAGATATAATATTTTGGCGTTGAATATTAAATACTAGTCGTGTAAATATTCATAACAAAAAAAAATGGCATAAAGTGTAGACAGTGTAGTGTATTTATTATTGTATAGTATAGAACCTATACTATAGATAACTTATGTGAACAATATATGGTTTGTAAATATCTTGAAAATTTAATTGAAATTTGTTCCATGAACTCATACATTTCTTTTTAGTTATGTTAAAATATATATTATACTGATATGATATCTACTGTGTAACTTTTTTTTTTTTAAATTGTAATTATAATACTTACTAAAAAGTGTGCGAGGAAGAAAATTAAAAAGTAAATTCTAAAAATGCCAACTGCTCTGCACTATTAAGTACTTGTGTTATAAGGCTTGAAACGTTAGTAACAAGAAAATCAGACATTTTATAAAGGTAAGTGTAAGTGTCTATTTTTTTTTTAAATAGACTAGTGTATTTTCTTAAAAATCTATAGATATTGATAACTAGTATAATGTATACTGATATTATAAAGAAAAAAAATTGTTTGCTTGTTCATTTGTTCGGGGTAGTCTCTGTAACTACGTAATCAAACATTTTTAACCATGAGAAATCTACATAATCCCAGTTATCTGTTCCGTAGTCTATATTTTATCTCGATAAGTGGCCCCTAATTTTTTTTATTGAAATAGTAGAATTATTATTAATAATAAAGAATATTATTTTTTTTTGTTTATAGGTTGCTATTCGTGACATAAAATTAAATAGTTATGATGATAATTTGTTTTTCCTTTTGTCCTAAGATGCTACATATTCACATCATAAATAACTTGTGCACATTCTGTGTATTCCCATGATACCGACAGACCTTCCTATATCTTTTGAACACTTGAAGTTTCTCGTAAAAGTGTAATTTATCTTTAGAATGAATAAGTCACAGGGATAAACATTCTTACTGATAGGTATCGACTTAAGAGAGGAATGTTTTTCCTTTGGACAGGTATACATTGCTTTATCTCAAGTAGTGTATCGTAAAAAGCAATAAACTTTGCTACCAAATAATAATAAAACTCATAACATAGTATTTTGAGAAGCCTTAATTTGATAATTATTTAAGGTATTTTGAAA